CACCTTGCACTCCTCTCCCTTTCCAATATTCCCCCTCACAAAACCAGGAACAATTGCTGATGTAGAACCCCACCAGTACAAATATACTTCCTGTTGTCAACTAACAATGCACAAGCATCTCTTTCATTTGTTTGATCAACAACAAACTAAGTTGCACCTAGTTTTACATTTTGTGGTTTGGGATCTGTAGCGGGCCAGTAGGGGGAGCTCCTGTGTTGAGCCTCCCACCTCACCATGCCCATCCACCTTCCGGACTCCACGTGTCTCTCCAGGGGCACCTAAGCCCTGGCAGCCCCCCTTTCGAGCCCCACCACAGAGTCCGGGGGTAATGTGTACTGCCACCACCCTGAGAAGGGACTGTCTGGATCCTGTGTCCTCGGGGAAACACAGGCCTAATAGTCCTACGGGTACTCGACCCAATACAAGAATTTGGGGCACTTCCCCAAGTTGGGGGCCAAAAAAGATAGTCTCCCTTAGTCCACTGACCCAAGGGGCCTCCTAGGCATAATTAAACCCACCCCTCAATACGTCTCCTACACTAGTCACAAAGGAGAACTTTATTGCTCCCGACAGGATGAGGTAGAATATGGTAAGAGGTAGAGCACTATCAAGGGATTACCACTGAGCAAAACAGTCTGGCTGAAGTAGCCGTTTGATACGCAAATGCATCACTGTGAGCTGACTAGCTCTCTAGAAACACACACAGGTATCATTCAAATGGTAGAGATCTGGCTCGGAGATTTCCAGAGACAGAGCGTTTCAGATGGATCAAACTCTCTCCCTGCGTCCTGATGCTTGTGCCATGCTGGAAAAATGGCTTCTCCTCCTCCTTCTTGGACCAGGCCCTTATATAGCCTTTCTGACCTCAGCAGCCCAGTCCAATAGAAGCCAGCAGTGTTGGCAATTAGCCAACCAATTTAAAAAGCATCACTGGTTACCTGGGCAGATGAGCAGGGGCTTTTCCCTCCCCACACTCAGGTGACCAGAGGGACCACACTCTAGGTACCAGGCTTTTGTCACGTAGGCAGGGTGGAAAATCCCTACTCCCTTAGGAATTCAACCCATGTCCCAAGCTGACAGGGACAGATTTCTGGAGAGAGACACAGACGGTGGCATTTCTGCCACAGGATCATTGTCTGGAAGCCCATTTCCCACTTGGTTAGTCCTGTACATACCCTGGATTTTATTTGCATGATATTCACTGAATTGAGTTCTCCTTTGCTTTGTGCTGTGGCAAGCTAATTTCCTGGCAACTATCTTATCAGAAGGCTTCTTACCAAGACATAGAAGCCCTTTCTTATTGCCCTTTCTTATTTCTGGCAATTGGATATTGCTGTTTGGACACTGGCTGGCCTGGGAGAGACACTGGGACACTGGCAACCAGCTGGGGCAATTGAGACCCAGTGGCAGCTGGATCACCCTCCTGAACTGATCAAAGGCCCTGAGTCCTGAGCCCATGGGCAGATCCACCTCAAGGAGTCACATAATCTGGGCTGTGGAGCTCCTCGCGGCTCTGGAAATTTGGCAGTGGGAGAGAAGTCACAATTAACATTGGCACCCACTCTCTCATTGCCAAATTTCCATGCACCGCACAGCTGCATGGGGCCGGCAGGGCTAGCGCCTAATGCAGCCCCGTGGCTGCAGTGACCATCCCTATGCTGTGGCGTTAGCCCCTATCCCTGCATGGCTGGATAAGACCTTTTCTGTGCGGCTGGATCAGGCTCACGGGTTGTTGTTTTTTTGTAAAACTTTTCTTATTCCAGGTCAAATTAGCAGTTTCGAATCCTGTTGATGGAGCAACACCCAATCGTTCTAGCAACACGGTATGTGGTGCTACAACCAGCAAGCATCCTCCACTGCAGACTTTTCAGCCCTGGGCCTCCGACACTCCTAAATCCATTGGCGGGCGTCCTCCATGCAGGCCCAAGCCCAGAGGCTTGTGGTTTGGATGCCCTCAAGTCACTTAGCCAAAGGCCACAGGAGCAAGCTAGGGAGAAGTCCCCCACTTCCATAAAGTAGGGTGTAGCCCAGATCCTCCCAATGGCCGCTGTCCCGTAGGAAGCTAATTACAAGAGTGGTGGGGCGTCCTGGCCGCAGCGCACTGGACGGGGTGCACCGTCCACTACAAAACGCCATTTACGTCCGTCTCCTCTGAGCAACACCCCGTGCAGCAGCTACTCTCAGTCTTGGCCCACAAGAGGCCAGGAGCGATCAGCCCCGCGCTGCTCCTCCAGGGCCCTGAGAGAAGTGGCCCGGGGCAAACCACAGCGCTGAACCAGCCGAGGAAACGGTCCCAGTCACTTCGGCAGCGGGCTGGGGTAGCGGCGCGCGAGCTGCGCGCATGGCGCCCGCCCCATCTCGCACTGCCCACCTGTCGGGATATTAGCATAACCCCGCCCGCTGGAGCGGAGCCGCCCAATGGGGGGGGCAGCGGGGGCGTGTCCGGGGCGGGCGGGAGGCGGTGGCGGTGGTGGCTGAGGGGTGCGCAGGGCCC